GCGGGCGCATTGGAAGGACACAGAGACAGGGATGCTGAGCCAGCACTAGTTCAGTGTCGGTTTTTATTTGTCTGACACTCAGAGTGGGGGGACAGGAGCAGGGGACAGGGAGCAGGGGAGCGAGATGTGCGGCTGGGGGGAGCCGCTGTCCCCAGAAGTGCGGAGGAGTGAGCGAGCCAGCAAAGGGCCGGCGGGTGCAAGGAGGTCCCAGTGGGGTTAGGGGCACTCGGATCTGTTCACCGTCTTCACCACATCGCCAGCCTCGTGCTTGGCCTTGCAAGAGACAGAATTGTAACTTTGCCACTGGCTGGCATCCAGTGACAGGTAGCTGCTGGCCATGTACTGGTTGTTACTCTGCCGCTGGGACTGACTGGTCTCCACACCGTTTTTGAGGACAGTGCCGTCAGCAGACCATTCCACTTCCACTTTGCTGGGGTAGAAGTTCTCCAGCAGACACACCAGGGTGGCTTTGTTCTGCTTCGAGATCTCCTCGGAGGACGGCGGGAAGAGGTGGACGGTGGGAGAGACCTCAGGCTGGCCTGCGAGGGAAGAGAGAGGTGTGGGGTCAGAGAGTGCCCTGTGCCCGACACAGCCCCTGTCTGCCCAGTTGGCACTACCCAGAAACTCCTTGCTTCCCCCACAGCCAAGAGCTTACCACTTATAACTCCAATGTATTTAGATCTGGGAAATCTAAATCTAAATTGATCTATATATTTATATTTGTATATATAATAGATATAATTTTTATATGTAAAATATGTGTGTATATATGCGTGTAATGCACACATACATAAACGTACATTCCATATATACTTGTATATATGTTTTATATACACCATCTGTACATATTTGTGTATATACATAGTACATATTACAGATACATATAATATAGATCACATCTATAAAGTATACAATATACTTACATATGTAGTACATATCATTATACAAATATATGTATAATTCTATAAAATGCATATGGCAAACATTTATCCATTTATGCATTTCATATATGCAATATATTTTATATTACATATTTTTATTTATAATATTCATAGCTAAATCTCTAGTTATTTGCCCCAAGCCCATTTCTTTACTTTTGCAAGGCAATTCGTTTAAAAAAAAAAAAAAAATCACAGACAAACAACCCTGTTTTCTGCCCAGTTCTGCTTTCAGACAATTTCAGACTCACCAAAGAAAAAGCACAAGTAAGAATCACACAAAGAAAGATGCAGAAAAGATGTTTGGTCTTTCTGAGGTGGTTCTGCTGCCTCCTCCAATGCACAGTGTCTGTTTCTCTATCTCTATTTCTCTTTCTATCTATCTCTACTAAAAAAACAAGATGACTTCACCATTAAAAAATTTCTGCTTAAACATGGTCAAAGAAAGTTTTTTTCTGTCTTAGTCCCCAGTAATTTGGTTCAAATTGGGATCTTTGACTACATTCTTTTCCAAATTACAGACAAATGACATTCCTGGCAGCATTTTCAATGTGTTAATCCCCATTTTTGACACGACTTACCTGGACAATGGGATCTTTAGGATACTCCTGAAATTTTTAGTTTAAGAACCCAGGGATGAGCTGCTCACGGCTGCCCTTTCACAGCCCCTGAACCCTCAGCCACGGGACCCCGCAGAGGATCCCTTTTCTCTCACCGGTGGTGACAGACTTTGGACTAAGAGTTGAGGACTTAGATTTTAGGCTGACAAATTTCTTAACAAAGACAAAAATCGCCTTCTCTAGAGACCTAAACCCAGGTTTCCCTCTTTCTGAGACCTCAGACATATTTCCGGGGCAAATTTTAAGATCTTTCATGTCAGAAAATACCCCCCACTCCTTCGTGGCACCTGCCAGAGTCCCCAGAGTCCGCAGGGACAAGACCCAGCCCAAAATTCTGCGCTCTGTGCCTGGCCCCAAACGGGCGGCAGACCCCAGCCCAGCACCAAGTCCGAGAAAAAAACCCCAAATCATCAAAAATGTCACAATTTCGCACTGGGGAAGGAAAGACCGAGAAGAAATCGGCGGCTCACCTTTGACGGTCAACATGGTCCCGGCCCCGAATATACCAGCAGTACTGCTGCTGTCGTAGCCACCACAGAAATAGACAGCCTCGTCCTCGGCTTGGACCCCAGAGATGGTTAATGTGCCTGAGGAGCCGGAGAATCGCGAAGGGATGTTCGAGGGTCTGTTGGTGTTAGCATAGATCACAGTGACAGGGGCAGTGCCAGGGACCTTCTGCTGGTACCAGCCATAGTACTTGTTACTACTCCCAGAGCAGGTGATCTTGACGGTGTCTCCCACCTTGTGAGACAATGAGGCCGGCTGAGTCAGCG